TATTTTTAACTTCTTGCTATAGCCTATATATATATAGGTCATATATGCAATTGGATTATCCACTTATATAAGTTAAAGCCATCTAGATCATATTCTTTTTTCAAAACCTAAATCACACTCATACCAATTTACACATCGCTAGATTGCAAATTGCAATATAGTAAGTATTTATATAATAGAAATGAATAAATATTCACTCACACACAAATATTATATACTACATTTATATAAAATTTATAATATTAAATATATATATTTATTTAATAATATATAAAAATTATATAAAAATATAAAATAAAAAAATTGTGGTTGTGACACCACAATTAAAAAGATAAAGATATAGTGAAAACCCAATGGTGGTACTAGCCATAGGATGGTGATTGGCCAGCGGATTATAGTATGTACTGCCATACTGGTACAAAGGTCCAATCTCGCTGACAAAAGCAGGACGAGGCAGTGTATTTTATTTTAAGAGCACCACGCGCTCTAGAAGCGCGTAATGGAATTAGAGCCATATTCGTTGAGTTCTGAATGTGGTTTTTTGTTTTATATATTTTTAAAAAGTATATTTTACATTAAAAATATGATTTGAATATTAAAATTATTAAAGTAGTTTTTAATAAAATTTTATTTTATATTTATTTATTAATTTATTGATAATAATGAACTCCATGCTTTTACCCAATGATCACAACATTTGATTTAAATGGATATCATATCTTATCTTATGAATACGTATTTAAATTTATGTATCTTATTCTCTCAAATTACCTTGTTTCAAAAACTAATTATTAATAATAATTTAATAATATTAATGTTGAAAGTACACTTTTAATTTAAATTGAAAAACATGAAACGTTTTTTTAACAATGAAAGAATTTATCTAAGTTATGCTTTAATTAAAGTACATATTAAAGATTCATTAGTTGTATTTTTTAGATTTATTTTATGTAAAAAAAGTTAGCTTTATTTTTCTTATCAATACTTTATGTATATTTTTAATTAGATAAGTAATCAAATTAAATTATTTTTGAATTTTTTAAAAAATAAATTAATTATATAAAATATGATAGAAAAGTAAGATAGAAATTTTCATAATAAAATAATGTTGGGGACAGGTGACGAAGCGCGTGAGCACAGACGAGAGGGAGTGGACGGATTGGAATTGGAGGACAGACGGGGACATAATGGTAAATGGAGCCTACTTTGTCCCGTCCGGTGCTGGGCTGAGTTACCAGTACGCAAAAGCCTCCAGTGTGGAGCCCAAGTCCGTGGGCCTGATTGCCCAGCTCACCATGAACGCCGGTGTCTTTGGTGACCCCAGGTACAACAAACTAAATTTCCCAAAATATTCCTTACTAAATTTCAATTATCTTTTGACTTTCAACTGTCAGATGAAAAAAAAGGTAATTTTGGGCTGCAATGCAATCAGTAAAATGAATAACAATGCCCCTTTTGAGTTTTCACTTCGATGTTCTCTTTGGTAGTATCCTTAGCATAGCTTTAACCAAAGTTCCATGTCCAAAGGTTTAAGGACAAACAAAAATGGGTAGGAACTAGGAAGGTACCATAAAAAACAATGAAAACAATTTACTTTTAGAGGTGCATGTGATTGATTGAACATTACGAATCTGGCTGACACTCACAGCCTTAACAGTTCAATTGTCTTTTCTCTTTAGTGGTTCATGGAGAATATTATTTCTTTATCTCGTCCTTTATGGGAGGTGATTTTTATGTCACGTTAAATAGGGTGTGGTTATTGCCCATGCCAGTGCCAAACAAATTGAATTTTTTTTTTAAATAATTAATAATAGTGTTTAAAAATATAAATTTATATATTAATTTTAGTTTATTTAATAATAAATATTTATTATTTTTATTAATTATTAATTTATAATACTTTTTATTATTTTTAATAATTAAACTAACTAAAATTAACGTTTTTAAAAATAATATTTAAGAAATTTATGTAATTATAACAATTTGTTACGTAGTAATAAGCATGTGGGCCTGTTAAATATATCACAGCGTTGAATAGTGTACTTGAGCATGTCTTGTTTTCCTCGTTGGATCATCCTTGGAATTCGTGATTTGACCCCCACTTTAGACCCAAACCTTTGGTTAGCATCATCAATCTAAATCAAACAATATTTTACTGATTAACTTGGGAATCTTATTTCTTTCTCAAAAGGATGCCCGAATCAGGAACCATGAGCAGGTGTTTGCATGCATGTGTGGAAACAGGGATAGAAAGTAGAGAGAAAAATGTTGGTTGCAAGGGCCAGGGTCAATGTTTGATTGAATGGAAAGCAGACTCTATTATAGCTCCTTTTTATCTGCTTTCCAGCAAGTAAATGTTGGACCTATTATTAAGTTCTTCAAGTAGAAAATACGGGTCCACATTCTATTTATTTATTTATTTTTGGGTACAAAACTACACATGGGATTGGCAAGACCTATTCCTTTCATTGCTTTTTGTCATTACAGTTTTGTCCTTTTAGCTGTATTCAACACAAAGTCCAATTTACTCTTATGTCTAATTGAAACAACCTGAAATAAAATTTATCTTTAAATTAACAACTTTTTATATTTAAATTGATGGGTTTTCAAATTATTTATAATAATTGATTTCTATACTTATATATTGTTTACAATCATACTCCTCTTTCAAGGTGGGACTAGTCTTTCAAGGTGGGACTAGGGCATTACACTGAGTCACTCATGTCCCGCTCATCCAACTTGTTACCCTTTAAATGTATTCATCAAAATTTTTGCTCATGTCATAATGTCCTTCGGTGTAATCATTAAGGCTTTTATTCTAAGCTCCAACCACTCAAGCATATATTTCATATTTCACATAAACAATTATCAATTAACTTCATTGATTAGCCTGTGTGATACATTTATTAATTTAGAATAGTGTTTGAATGATTTGAAAGCAGGGAAGAAACTGGGAGCATTTCTTATCCAGGATTCAGCGGTAGTGGATCCAGCTCGGGCACCACAAACGCCGGGAGATCAGGGTCAGGAGATGGCGGGGACTTCTCTGGAATGGTATTCCGGGGCGGGACATCAGCAGCAGCTCCACCGTCAACAACCCCACCCACAGCCTCTATGTCTTTGTCTATTGTAATTATTTTATTTTCGTACATTATCACCAACTATGGTGCCCTACTACCATTACCCTAATGATTATTGCTATAGAAATTATAAAGAGAAGGAAAGAATTGTCAATAATGTTTTAAGGTGAAAGGGAAATAGAAGAAGAATATTTATTGATTAGTTTGGTTGCATCTCTTAACTGTACAGAAAAATGTTGTAATTGTAGGGTTGTTGATTGGTTGATTCTTTTGTAGAGAGGATAGGATAGGGATAGAGGGGGGGGGGGGTTGAATGAGGTGGGATTGTTGGATCTGATGTCAATTTTAGAGGCTTTGAGTACTCTTTTTCTCTATGAAAAGTGATCCAATAAAACGTGGGGTGTCTCCATGTTGCGGAATTTTGGCAAACCGGCCTAGTTAATCTTATCGTAGATGCTTTTAGAATCTTATTCTTTCTCTGCTCTCTATGATGTGTGAAAGGGTAAAGTGTAAGAGATGGCAAGAGGATCTTTGAGATTTTTTTCCATTTTGTGGGCATGTTTTTAGTATAAGATTATAAATTAACGGTGCAAAAGGAATGAATTAAATCGGATCCCTTTATTTGGTTACAGATCAATGGCAATTGGTCGTTCTGATTGTTGCTATGCTGTGCATGGTAGTAGCACAATTTTATTTTTTATTTTTTCTTTTAAAGATGAATGCCGTCTCTGTAGGAATCGAACTCATGATCACATGGTTAAAAGCCATGTGCTCTGCTGGCTGAGCTTGGACGGCATTATTGCAACAAATCACTCTTGTTAACTTTTTTGACCAAAAACCAAAATGAGATCGGGTGCTTGATATAACTAAAATCATTAGATAAAAGATGAGTTTTTGATATAATTAGGAGTTCTTTTATATATCATCTAACAATTTTTATTTTATAATTTAATTAGTGCAAACCAAATTATAAAATATAAACTTTATACCATGGTGCCAAGTACCCAATATATGTTTACTTACAAAGAAGTTTAGACCTCTTGACCCCGGGTAAAGTAGGCAATGGAACAAAATGTGAAAAAATCAAAACAGGAAAATGTTAGAGCCATACTTTAATTATATTTGATGACAGCAAACATAAGGCTTCATTTTCATCAGCCATAATTCAGGTTTCCTAGTTCGTGAGATTTGCTTTAACCCAATCAACAGTTTTCCTTAATGAACGGGATTACGGTAGTTTGTTCATAATAAGGAAATTCTGTTGTATCATCTATCATGAGCTAACAACATATGTTATTTTAAGAATTTTTACATTTAATGAAAAAAAAAAATCTTTATATTTTATGTTGAGTGTGCAATCAACATCTCAATAAAGAGATTTTATATCTTAGCAATGATACATCAACATGAAATATGCACAGATTTTTTAAATACTATTTTTTTTTTATTAATTACAATACTTCTAACGTAAATTTAAGATACTTTATTATAAATATCTTATAGTAACAGTGGAATATCAAAGTGTAAAAAGTAGTATAAATAAAGAAATATGAGTAGGGGAGATCCAATTGGGTTAAAAGCAGAAAAGAGGGAGTTTGATTCCGTTGAAGAATCAAAAACTGGATAAATTGCATGAAACTCATGAAAACTAGAAAGCAAAGGTGGGACAAATTAGAAATCTTAACAAGTTCTGACGTGCCCGCACGAAAAGTGGACAAAGGGAATTATAGCAAGGAAGGGTGAGTATTAGGTATGGATACATCAGTTATTTATAAGTATTTTATTTGTTTGTATAAATATTATATTTAAATTTAAAAATTGATTATATTAGAACATATAATTAGTTTTTTAAATTTAGATATCAATATTTAATAAGATATAATTTTAAATTTTAAATTGAGATTTTAGTTTCTATATGTAGATTGAAATTTTAATTTTTTTTAATACAAAACTAATATGCACTAAGATCTTACCTTAATTAAATTATAATTAAGAAAAGGATAAGTCATTTGAATTTAATTAATGGATAATTAATTTATTAATTATTTCTTAATTAAAAGATTACAATTTAATTGAGATATCTTGGTGTATTATAATTTAAAATTTTTGTTGGTAAAATGTATCAGTACATAAGTCCACGTCATTTTTGTTTCAAAAAGACCACCATAGGTTTGATACGGCCAATCCACTTCAGCGAAAAAAGAAAAATGTTTGCGATTTGCCACACGTAAGTAAAGTTGACAGACAAAATGTTGCCACATCAGAATTTATAAACGGAAGGACCAAAATGGTATTGAACATTCAAGTTTAAGGACTATTTCAGTACTTTTGAAAGTTTAAGGACAAACATAGTAAAAAATAAAAGTCAAAACCAACCATTTGTTTAAGATAAATTTTAATACCGACGGCACGGACTGTACGGACTCACTGATGCCATAATGGGGTGAACCGGAATCACCATAAGCAGCGGCCATTTCTCACATCACAACGAGGTGATGCTCCTGAGGCACGACGACAGGTATTGGTCGGATTCCGAGATGCAGGTGACTATCGCATTCAATCACTTCGGCGAGGAGCTGGTGCAGCGGATGCCGCGGGGCAGGCACAGGTAAATACAGCTAGTGAACAATGATTTCACAGCGTAAGAGCTGTAGGCCATCGGCGGTAGCGCCAACCCCACCATTACAGGCAGGAGAATCGGTAAACGGCTCCGGCGGATCCTAATGCCACTACTAAAATTCTTCTTTTTAGTAACTAACCATCAACAACATGGAATTGCTTGTTGGTCATATAAATTTTCATCAACAAGACTCATGTTGCTAATACCTACAAAGTAACCAATTTCTCAAAAAGTGAACTCAACTTTTAACAGCATACCTCTTGTTACAACTATCAGCAACAAGGACAGTGTTACTGAAATTTTGCTGAAATTCTTCAATGTGGAAAAGTCGCTTGAACTTTCAGCAATGTTGCTAAAAGCAAATTTCAGCAACAAGCACTATGTTGCTGACACCTCTATAGCACCTAATCCCCCCAAAAAGTGAGATTAACTTTCAACAACTTCGGCAATTAACTTCTCCCTCTTCTCAATTATTCCAACAACCATTCTCCTCCATTGTTGCAACAACCGTTTTCTCCCTTTTTCCTTTTAATTTATTTTTTTCAGTTTTTTGTGTCTACTCTCCCCTCTCATCTTTTTGCTTTGGGTTCATGTTTGTGAACCCAGATTTAGGTTTGTGTTCATGAATTTGGGTTCACGAACCCATTTCTAGGTTTGTGTTCATGAAGCTTTCCTTCTCTTTTTCCTCTAACCAACCCCTTTCCTCCATCTTACATGTTGCTTAGAATATGAAATGAAAAAAGAAAAGAACATTTAGTTGGAAATATGGACTGGTAGGAAGTTAGATCTGGGTGAATAATT